ATTTCACACAATAAAAAAAAAAACACATTAATGAATTGCCTTTAAATATTGTTCTGACCCTGACGGCTGAGGCTTACTGAGTGTGGTGATCTCATGAACTCTCCTTCTGCATCACCAGCAGGTCAAAATAATCTCCAATGTAATGTTGCTACATTCAAAGATGATTTAGAATGTGTTTTTCCTGTTGTACGCTGTAACTGGGCTGGAGAATTACAAATGATCATCTTATCATCCAGGAAGGATGAAATAGAAGTGTTGTTAAGGGCCCAAGTAGGCGCAGTGTGGAATTTGGTGCAATTTGGATGTGATATACGTGATATATATTAAGTATTTATAAACTCTGAATAAACAGGTGACCAGCGCTCTGTGGCAGTAGCGGCTTGGAACAAGCACTGCATGAGTTTAACATAAAGAGGGAGAGGGACTTAATAGTGGAGGGAAACAACCTTGTTTTTGACTCTTTTGCCATTAAGCAAACAGTACACATGAGAGATTGTGTGTGTGTGTGTGTGTGTGTGTGTGTGTCTGAATCTGCGGCTAGCGAGGCAGGCAGCTTGACACCCCACAGTGATCCTGATTCAAAATGCTCACCAGAGAGAGAGAGAGATGGAGAGGGCAGGTGTTAAAGAGAAAGAGGGGGGAAAAGGAAGACAGAGAAAGGCAAAGAGGACAGGCGAAAGAGAGAGAGACAGGAAGAAAGGGGGAGACCAATTACGAAAACCAAACCACGGAGGGATAAGAGAGGGAGTGAGAGAGGTTGGGAAACAGAAAGAGGGAGAGATATTTCCTCTGGGTCCCTGAGAGAGAGAGAGAGAGGAGAGAGGGGAGCACAGTCTGTCTGCGTCCGGTCGGTCGTTCAGCTGATTAATTTGTGACAGGGGGGATTTCTGTGCTCCGTGCCTTGAATTGCTGCTCTAATTTATATGGTAATCTTCTTTAAGACTCCAGCAGCATACAAAAAACCTTTTATTTCCATCCCTGCTAAGCTAAAGCCTTTCCAATATTCACTACACACATATAAATATACATAAATGCACAGAGCACATGTTGGTCATTCTCTGTATGTGGGAAAATGCGAAGACGCCTCTATTTTACTTTTCCTGATAAGGCTTTCCCGTGCAGGGAAACAGTTCAGCTGTTTTTTAAATTTTATTGCTGTCTCCTTTACCGCGAATAACCCTGGCAATGTTTGTCCCTCCCCGTAATCTCCTGTCACCCTGATGTGAAAACGTTGCCGCTAATAATTAGGAGCGTTTAGGAGTGGATAAAAGCTCAAGGGCAGCTTTCGCGGGACACAGGTACAGTTTGGTTTCAGAGAGTTTGCAAGGACGAATAATAATTTGGGGGCAACAGCTCAGTTGGGCACACTAGGTTAAGCCTACGACCACGTAGGATGGAAGGAAATGGTGTAACCGGTGGATATTCACATTGTTGGATGCCCAGAGACAGCTGTTTGATTGCAGAGTGGATCACTGTGGTCATTCAATTTGGGCTTAGCTACTTTGACTTTGGTGTCAAGAAGGCATCAGGATATTTACTTGCTTTTTCAAGCGATTGCATATAACCATGTGCGGAGTCAGATAGAGGCAGAGCCCCTCCTCGACAGATCAGACCACAGCCTCGTGCTTCCTAATCCCACTTTACCCATCATCCTGCAGCAGCCTCTGACCACAAGAACAGTAAGGAGGTGGACAACAGGAAGCTAATGAGCCTCAGCAGGGATGTTGTGAGGCCACAGACTGGGATGTCCTGTGTGAGCCCCATGGCGAGGACAGGCAGCATAACAAAGCACATAAACCATCCCCAAAGTGTTTACCCAACAACACGCCCTGGATCAACCTGAAGGATAAGAGGTATAAATAATGAATTGATGGAAGGATGACTTTGTACGGGTCTGAGCATTTTATCTTCACATGCTTAAGGTTAAGATTGTGGGTGTGGAAGGATGGTTAGGGTTAGATATGCTAACCTCCCACACATCACCCTGACCTCTATGCCATTGTTGACTGCCTCACTACACAAAGGGCACGAGACTGCTTTGGCGGTGAACCTTGGCACAGGGCGTACAGCGATGTACAGCAATCAGTGTTGAGAATAAAACTCAGAGGTAAGCCTCAGTTAGCACTGGGAATGGCAGTCATCTGGATGCAGCTCCTGGAGAAGATCGTGGAATTCCCAGAGTTGTGTGCGCCTCTGGATTATCTTTTGGACCAAAACATGACAGCTCTGCCATTTCCACAACAGGTACAACTCAGTAACTGATATTTAATGAAGCCAGTAGTCCTCCACTCCTCTTTTCCAAAAGAGAACAGGCAGGTTGTGTTTACTTGCGAGTTAAACAAATAATAAAAATCCTTTGGCCAGACTCGTGTGAGTAAGGCAACACAAAACATTGCTATGTGTTTGGAGTGAACACAACATAACTCTTTGATTGCGAAGATTAAAACCTTTCTCAGCCACTATAATCCATTTATCCAGGAGGTTAGCCTCCTTAGACCCATTTATTCAAGCTGTGGAACACTCAATGTAGTCGAAGTCAAGATGGTCAACACCCATTGTGTTATTGTTAAATAATTTAAGGGTTTCCACTGCACTGAAATCACTTTCTTAGCAGCCGTTAAACCTGAAAGTACAATGTGCTTCTGGTATTTCGGTACCTTGAGCAAAGTATTGAATAATTTAAAAATGAAGATTTGTGTGTACCTTCTCAGAAATGACCACTGACAATTTGAAAACAACAGCTTGCCAGAACTGAGCTACCGGTGGGCACTCTCGCATAATATGAACAAAAGTGCCAGGAGTCCTTAAAGCTGTCAAAACCTGTCATTTAGTAGCTCCAGGCTTCTCATACGAAGACACTGCTTCTGTTTTCTTGATTTGAGAGACTTAATAACCTGTTCTGAAAAGCAGTAATAAGCAAAATCTCGTTTTCTAACATGTCAAGCATTGGAATAATCATGCTCCTCATAGGCCTACAGTGGAGATGTTTTCATGAGCGTGGGTAAGAAAAATCAATTTTTCTCATCTGGCTCCTGGAATGGAATAAATCCCCCAGGGACGCTGGATGTAGATCAGTTTGAGCGTGAGCAGTATTCCTCTTTTAGCCATGTCGTGTCTCCATCTTACTCCAGAGGTGAAAGTTCTTTTACCGTGACTGTCTGTGTGAATACAGATTAGAAAGGAACTCCCAAGATGTATGTAGCTGAAGCTGTGAAAAACAGAAGTGTGTGGCTGCACTGGTAATCCTTTAATTCTTTTGGCGGTGAACCTGTAGTGTAGCCCTTTGCACAGAAGCTCAGTTTGACAAGTCAACAGCAGTTGATGAGGGCTGGGAAACATGCAAGTGGTAAACAATTCTCTCCCGTCTGTGTGTGTGTGTGTGTGTGTGTGTGTGTGTGTGTGTGTGTGTCTGTAAATGTGTGCTTGTGCTCAAATGTGCATTGGTCAATGATAAATGTTCTTTGTGTGTGTGTGTGTGTGGCTGTGCATGAGTGGAACCAACGTGTGTCTGTGTGTGTATATAAATATGAATGGATTGCATCTTTGCAGTTACACATTAGTATGCAGGAATGACATGTGCACATTAGGGATCAAGTTTTTTTCCTGCACTTAACTGACCATTTTTCCAAACTTAGATTTCTCACCCTAAATGACATTTGATTTGAAAGACAGATGGGTGAGATGGAAGGCAATGATGGGAAAGATTCACATGTTCACAACTTGTAAGTGTCCAACACCCGAGACAGCTGAATAATTGCAGGGTTGTTCATGTAAAGAGATTGAAATGACTTTAAATTCGCATGTACAAGCAATCCAGATACGTTTGGTTTTTAAGGCTGTAGCATATTACTAAGTGCCAAGACAAATACATCAGAGCTTTCAGAAAAAAAATACGACAAATCATAATTATACTTTGGATTTTGCAAACCACTTATCACCAGAAAATAACTTTAATATTGTATGCAATTTCTAAACTCTGAAATATGTGCAATGACAAGACAGAGTGGACTGGGGCTGTGGGCAGAGCGGTAAGAGACCCTCCTCGACAGATCAGACCATAGCCTCGTGCTTCCTGCTCCCACTTCACCCATCATCCTACAGCCGCCTCTGACCACAAGAAGCGTAAGGAGGTTGACACAGGTAGCTAATGGGCCTCAGCAGGGATGAGGCCACAGACTGGGATGTTTTCTGAGCACCATGGAAACGACATCAGCTTCATAACTGACTGAATAAGGCAGCACATCCAGCAGCATCCCCACAATGACAGCTACAGCCATGCAAGCAGGAGTCCAAGGCATGTGTTAGTTCAAACGTTGCAGTGAAAATACTGCGGTATGTTTAAGATGGGTCACTGATTTCTGAGGGCCGGTACTGATATGCAGGGGTAAACGTTTTGATATTAATCAGATAAATAATTGTCTATCATTCCTTATCATTGTGCCTTACGATGTCATTATCAAACCCTTATGAGGAAGGAATGTAATTGAGGCTTGATATTTTACAGTTTAAGCATAACTTTTATTCAAATAACTGAATATTCATTGTTTATTCTGTAAAATAAAGGTTTTTAAAATAAAGGTTTTCAGTAGTCCTGGTGTAGCAGATAGCACTGACCAAACTGGTGCACATGATGCTGGTTATATAGGAGTTATGGTTATGTCAGACTACAGTTTTATTTGCAGACATTGTAGCTGTGTTGGAATGTAAGTTAGCTCGAGACAAATCGTTGCACTTTAAAATTCCAGTTGTACATAATGGAAATGGAATGTTACATGGTTGGAATGTTACTATTTAGCTATAGAAAGATGTCTTTTTTCAGTTCTTCTATTCTATAAAAATATTCAGTAAATGCACACAAGTGCACAAAAACACACAAGGAAACATGTGCACATTATCTTAGGTGTTTCTTCAGAGGAAAAGGAACAATATATTCGAGAGAATTCCTCCCCCCTTGTTCATTCGGTTAAATTAAAATGTGGAAAAATAGTGCTTTTTTTTACCTGTGAGAAGTTCTCGTATCTCCACATCTGTGGTCTTCCGGAGCAGTCGGACCAGAGCGGGTATGCCTCCACAGTTCTTCAGGGCGATCTTGTTGTCGTCATTGGCTTTGCCGTAAACCAGGTTCCTCAGGGCTCCGCAGGCGCTGCGGTGAACATCAGTCATCCGGTGGTCCAACAGGTCCACAAGCAGCTGGATGCCACCCTGCCGCCGGATCTAAGGGGAAGAGGGGGGAGGAAGGAATTATTATACAGCAACAGAAGAGGAAAGTTATAGCAGTAATTCCATATGTTGCCCGCCATGCCTGCTGGTATTAATGCAGTAGCTGGAGATATTTGGGCTTGTTTACCTCACTGAGGAAAAAATATTTTACACCCTGATGTTGTTGTATCAGATTTTATGTTGTCACATCGTACACACTTTCTCCCCTTTATAAAATCGAAAGACACATTTTAGTGAAGGAGACAAAATGCTTGGTATGTCGTCCCCTTGATGCCCCCAGTAAAAGCAAAGACATTATCAGCTGAAGCACTGTGGATAAAAAACTCTAACTGCTTTGATTATTTTCTAGATGCTAATGTAGATGTTAGTTGCTCACGTAATAATGTAATAAAGAAATGAATGTGTTGTGCTAAAAACTATTATAAATTGTAACATTACAACTTGCTTTAACTTTTGACAATGCAACACATTTAATTTGTCTTAGCAAGGATTGGAAATATATATTTTCTTATATCTAGCCAATAATTTACTTATGTTTTGGATTAGTTATGTTTTTGTTTACCTGTAACACATGAACAAAAGGATTATGTATTGCTCATTTGTCTAAAAATCTAAAATATTCACTCAATAATAAGAAAAATGTTTTTTGGACAGGCTACAGTCCTAACTCTTTCCCATCTTTAAGTGATTGATAATAATTTAAATACAAATAAATTCATTGAAAGCTTAAATTGATTGATTATAATTATTGTCCACTTACTGTGTCCAAATCCTGTCAGAGGGGATGTATTAAGAAGTAACACAATGGATTGAACACACCAGACAAGTTGTTGCAGTGTATTCAGAGCTAAGAGACTGAACAGGCCCTTCGCACCTCTTCTATTACTCCGACATCCAGACATCTCTCTCAAGGGCAAAAAAGTGAGGTCTACTGTAGTGTTGGCAGCCTTGTTATAGTCTAAACACAACCATACTTCATTCCTCTATACGCTCTCTACATCAGTCACCTTTCTTCTCTACTTTAAATGCCCGTTGGCGGATCTTTGTTTGAAGAACCTTGTTTGCTGTTAAATCCATCGTCTCCATGGGGATTAATAAAGTTGCATCGAGCTGAATTGAGTTGACATTGAGGAGAGAGACGGAGACGTTTTTTACCCGAGACACAGAGTGGTGATGGCTCTCAAAGGACGGGGGGGGATATAGAGCACAGGAGCAAGGTGATATTCAGAGTTGGGTGTGTATATTGAAGAGTTAATGCCTGAATTAAGATGTGTGTTGGAACATCCACTGTTACACACAGATAATATATACTCAATAACACCTTCATATACTGTATTGCGGTATGGTTTTTGTTGTAGTTCTTCATGTTATTTAATGTATTTCTGAACACTGTGGTATTCACCTGCAGTTTTAATAATAATTTCAATTTCACATGGTAATACTAATCGTCTTGAATTCTGAAAGTGTTTCATCATAGTGGCAACCCACTGTGAAATCACCCAAACTGCCATTTTGTATAGCTGTTGCCTTGATTTTTTCTGTACATCTGATACATAAACATCAGGCTTGTAGCCCAACCCTTGAAAATAAAGCACATATGTGTAATTAGTTGTTGATCTTATAGGAAGGTCACTGATAAGGTAACAGAGACATTGTACCGCAAGAACAATTTGCCAAAAACTATCTTATTGTGACATTATCCTGCTGGAGCAACAGGTAGCAAACACAAACATATTGTTACACACGCACTCACACTCTCCCACTTTACTTTAAGTATCTTGATTGCCTGAAATCTTTAATCCCACTTGAAAAACTCCACAGCAATAAAACCTATGCTAAAAACCACGTTCAACAGATATCTCAAAACCTCAGCACGTAGCTCAGATCATATCTGCATACAAGTAAAATGGGTTTATGGGTGAGAGGATGTTGTGTATGTTTTCATTAAACCCACTATTTAATATTTAATCTGAATAAGGGCCAAATATTGCATGTTAATGTGTCCACTTGTTAGAATGGAATTTCTTGGTGTGGTTTCTCTTCAGAGAATAGTACCTCAGATTTGATCTTGTTGTCTCCGAAGCAGAGGTGCTGGAGGTAGGCAGCAGCGTTGGATTGGACTGATGGGAACTGATGCTGCAACATCTGGATTACCTCTGGCAGCTCTGGATCCCTCCAGCCAAACTCCCTACAGAGACACAAAGAGAAAGGATACAGCATGTTTTGATGTGTGCAGAGATAAAGGTGTGTGTGTGTGTGTGTGTGTGTGT